TCAGGAACCGAAGTGAATGGAGTTCTTGTGTAGTAGGTAAAACATTGTTGTCTAGATAGGTGAGGCAACAGATTCCTTTGTGGTGAAGGTGCGCCATGACCGACTATAAGGGTTAATTGGGGTACCATGGGTCAATCCTTAACGATAGGCACGTGAATTGATTAGTTTGGTCCCATCAATGAAACCAAAAGGACAGATGGGTCCCTGTTGTGACTATCATGGGCAGGTATGTGTCTGTCCAATCCGAATGAGTGAACCCACCTTAGGTGTGGAGGAGATCTCTCAGCAGATAAGTACCATCTATCTTGCAGTGACCACCCCAAGGATACATTGGGTAGGTGTAGGATGGTGTCAGGTTGGTAGTCTCCCAACTATTGTGGGCATCAAATTATCCCTGCGTTAACCAGTGACGTCCAGAGCGAATTGCCCAGCGCTTCTTGGAAATAGATGTAAGTCTCATCTATGATATTTGTGGTCCTCTGGTATCTGTAGAGGAGGTGGTAATGGGAGAGGTGTACTTCGACCCCCTAGGGTCGAACAGGTATGCTGATGAATCGTAAGCTCACAGGGTTAGGTTACCCTACTGGGTCGTTCTGCCTGGGAGTATAGAGGAATTCTATGACCTGTCCTCCAACCGTCCGGAGTATTCTAGCATCCCTAATTGAGTAGAGGTTGCTCCCCTACTTAATAACAAAGTAGACCGCTGTCTGTGGTTATACCATGAGAGTTGAAACTGAGAAATTTATGAATGTACCTGTTTCTTCCCTAACCTTAGGAACCTCTCTCTGTACATGATATCCTTAGCCAGATGGACCCCTTTTCTTTCCCCAACTCTATGAGTTTGGTGTCCAACTTGGAAAGGTCCCCTATGTCCTGATTGTAGCGCTCAGTATGCTTATAACTTATTGCTGTAGTTTTCTGTAGCGCTGTATTATGTCATTGGGGTGAAGTGAGTGAGGTGTATGATATAATATAAAAGGTATGGGAAAAACAGTAATAAGTGGTGCTACTATCACTAAGTGTGAATCACTCAACCACACAAAATCAAAGTGCATAAAAAATAATAGAATAGTGAGAGCACACTGTACATGCAAAAAACTATATTACCAATACTTCATTAGGTAAATAGCTGAAACATAAAAAGAGAGAGAAAAGGACATAGGGTAATATTGTTTACACTGTATATAATAACCATATATAATTGGTTGCACTCACATGGTTCTGAGTCACTTTTATAAGCTGACTCAGACTAAGGGCTTTAATCGGAGAAGAAATCCTTAATGCTGGACACCTTGTGTTGATATGCAGGTTAAGATTAAGTTGTCTCTGGCAATCTCTGGATGTCTGATTGAAATTATTCCAGGATACCTAATCTCAATAAATCTCTTAAAACTTTTATTTATTCCAGGTAAAAAGAAACAATTTAAAAATCAATCACAAGTAAACTTAAGTCCATGCAAATTACCACTGAGTGAGGTGTATGAATCGTGTATGAAGGCCTGATGACCCCCATTTTGTCAATCTCTGTGTTTTCCATCCGTGCGGCGGTCAAACTATGGGAACACCCCAGGTGTTGGGAAATACCATCCCCTTGTCTGTCTGTGAATTGCAGGAGACCTCCTTTAACCCTGGGGTCTCAGAAAAATTCCTTATAGGGGAAGTTAGGTCATTTTGAAACATCTTTCCGGCACATCGGGGTCTGTTTTCAGACTCGTCTTTAATTATTTTGAGGGTCCTCTCAGCCTTACTATCCCGCTTCTATGTCTCCTTGAAAAAACGCTTCGGGCGTTGATGGAAGAGGATGTGGCACAGGAGGAAGAGGAGGAGGAAGAGGGGTAATTTCCATGGTTATCAAGCCAGTCATTCACAAGTGGCTTGGAGGGTGGGTTCCTGCACCAGCATAGGCCAGGTACACAATTGTCCAGCCAGGGCACAGTTCTGGTGGATGAGGAGGAGGATGATGAGGATGAGGAGGAGGAACCGTGTTTACAGCAGGGTGGCACCCAACGCAGCTCGTGGTCATCACTGGAGCATGGCTGGGGGGATACGGAGGACACAGACGATACACCTCCCACAGAGGACAGCTTGTCCTTGCCTCTGGGCAGCCTGACACACATGAGCGACTAAATGCTGCAGTGCCTGCACAACGACTGCCGAGTTGCCCACATTCCAACTTAAGCTGATTACTGGGTGGCCACCCTGCTGGATCCCTGTTACAAGGACAACATGCCGTCCTTAATTCCCTCACTGGAGAGTGATCGGAAGATGCGTGACTACAAGCACATGCTGGTAGACGCACTGCTGAGGGCATTCCCAACTGACACCGGGGGCTAAGTGGAAGCACAAGGCAAAGGCAGAGGAGGAGGAAGAGGTCGTCAACGCAGCTGGGGCACCGCCAGCACCTCAGAAGTCAGGGTTAGCATGGCTGAAATGTGGAAAAGCTTTGTCAGCACGCCACAACAACCAGCACCACCAGCTGATATGGAACGTCTTAGCAGGAGGCAGCATTTCAGCAACATGATGGACCAGTACGTGTGCACACACCTACATGTACTGACTGATGGGTCTGCCCCATTTAACTTCTGGGTCTCCAAATTTGGCACATGGCCTGAAATTGCCCTTTATGCCTTGGAGGTGCTGGCCTGCCCTGCAGCCAGTGTATTGTCTGAACATGTGTTTAGCATGGCAGGGGGCGTTATTACAGATAAGCACAGCCGCCTGTCCACAGCCAAAGTGGACAAGCTCATGTTTATTAAAATGAACCAGGCATGGATCCCACCAGACTTGTCTGTATCTTGTGCAGAATAGACATTTACACTGGCCTCACCAGCCATTGTTATACTCAAGTGCACTTATTCTTTGTTTTCTTTTTTTATATGTCCCAATATTTTGGGGGCTACCCCAATAAAAAATAAATAAAAAAACAAACAAATAAAAAACAGTGTTGGCTATCTCCTCCTCCTCCTCCACTGCTGCTTTCCCCTACACCGCCACGGTGTATACCGAGATATATCAGAGCTGCTGCAGAAAGTGCAGGCTGTCTGTGCGCGCTTTCGGCATTCTCACCCTGCTGCTGCTCGCCTGTCTGCACTGCAGCGTAACTTTGGCCTTCTCGCTCACCGCCTCATGAGACTGTGTGAGCAGCAGCAGGCGATAGTGGAGTTTCAGTTGCAGCACGCACGGGTCAGTCACTCTGCGGAACAGAGTTTTTTTTTATATGTCCCAATATTTTGGGGGCTACCCCAAATAAAAAAAAAACACAATGTTGGCTACCTCATCCTCCTCCTCCACCGCCGCTTTCACCTACACCGCCATGGTCACTGCCTCCTCAACCTATGGGTCACTTAGTATAAACTATGTACACAATAGTAGAGGCTTGTGAAGGCCTTTTCTCCAGGCATATCTTTTTTTTACATGCCACAATTAGTGATGTCCCGAACGGTTCGCCGAATGGTTCGCGAACGGTTCGCCACGAACGGTTCGCCGTGGACTCATCATTGAATAAACTTTGACCCTGTACCTCACAGTCAGCAGACACATTCCAGCCAATCAGCAGCAGACCCTCCCTCCCAGACCCTCCCACCTCCTGGAGAGCTCACTAAGAATGCAGCTGCACAATGAATGTAAAATGGATGCTGTATTAATTTTTTAGATCTATTTTTACTGAGAATTTACTATTAAAACAAAAACCTATTTCAAGCCAACTGATTGTAATGCTTTTATTGACTCAAAAAGTGGACATCACCCAAACTGGTTACGAAGTGTACCGAAACTGTACAGTTTAAAATATATAATACCCTGTGCTCCAAAAATTATTTTTAAGAAAAGTACAAATGTTTTAAATATATTAGCTCCAAGTACTTTTATATGTGATGTTAAGAAGAAAAAAGCTACTTTAAAAGGGTTTTATAAATGTGGCGGTTGCAAGGGGTGCCAATTTTAAAAGCAAGCAAACGGGTAAATGCTTTGAAATAAAAGATCATATTAATTGTAAAACAGATTTTGTGGTATATTTATTAACATGTGGGTGTGGTATTCAGTATGTAGGGAGAACGACTAGACCCCTCAAAACAATATTTCTAGAATATTGTAACAATATCAGAAAGAAAATCACAACACACTCTGTACCTGTTCATTGTAATGCATGTCCAGCTTTTAAATTTGAGAATTTTCTATGCACTGGTTTGGAAGGGACCCAGTTGTAAAATTAAGACAGAGGGAAGGATATTGTATATTCACATTGAAAACTTTAAGTCCTTTTGGACTCAACGTGGATTTTGACATGGTTTGTTTTTTATAATATATTTTTTATAAAATATATATATATAAATATATATATATATTTTAACATATTTTTAATGTCTTTCCATCCCATACATCCCTCTGCTCTTTTTATGTGATACCCCTCCTCTCATTATATTATCTTTACTCAAGTTGATCTTATTAAATCATATATTTTCAAAATTATATATATTCTTTAATCTTCTTGTTTTGGATACTATTTATATACTCTATTTATATTTTGTATTTATGTAAACATATTCGGTATATATTTTTCATATAAGTTTTATATTCACATCTTATAATATACTAATATTTTCATATATAATATACTCAGATTTTTTATAATAATTGGCAATCATTTTATTCACATATTCTCATTATACAATTTCATCTTATGTTTAGTGGTCTACAAGAACAGTAATCTGCTTTTTATCTTTTTCCCATTCCCCCCCTCCCCTTTTCTGTTCCATTTTTGTATATATTATATGAGACTGACACTTCCAGAACGCAGCATGGAAAGCAAAGTGCGACCGCGGCGCAACTGGAAGTCGTCATGGACTGTAACTAGCCTATTGAGTTGCAGACAAAAGCTGTTAATCAACGAACCCGGAAGTGATTATTCACTCCGGCTGGAGAAAAACCCGCGAAAAGGCACAACCATGACCTTAAAAAGGGATCCAAAGAAGGACTAACAGCATCCTTTACCAGACGGCACCGAAGAAGTCCGTTCGTAGGACGAAACGCGTAGGGCTGGGAGAAGGACGCACTGTATTTATTTAATGTAATATATTTTCCTCTGTATGTTGTTTTATATGGATTGTTAAGCTGCTATATGGTTGCTGACTGCAGAGGATTGCGCACCCTGAGTCTGGACACCATTTGTACCATATACCAACTTGAAGAAACTACTGTGTAAGGGTTTACCTGAATTAAAGTTTTTTGAATCTTAAAGATATACATCATGTCTGTCCTTCTTCTATTTTTCACATGGTTCGTGGATTGAGAAATTGATAGAAGGTCCATATCTTTAAAAGAAACCTCTATGTGCCTGCGTCAAGCTATTATTTGTGAGTGATCCTGTTATCTATATTTTTCCACGCTATTTCAGTCTTACCTTGTTCTTAAAGATTGTATTTGTATACATTTGTACTCTCAATATGTATGTATTGTCCTAATATCCTGTGTCTTTTCTTTATTCAGGTTTTGGTATCCTGAATATGCTTTCAATATATGTCCTGTATCTGGCCGTAGAATTCTGATTACACTGTACCTGGTTCAAGTATGATAAGTATCCTGTACCTAGATCTCATATTTTGAGTGCCCTGAATCTGGATATGGTATCCTGACATTCCAAAAATGCCTGCTGTATCTTGAGGTCTCTTTCATTTTCCCAGTGTTTCTGTTTAATTATTGTGTTGTTTGCTATCTCAGTTTTGCATTACTTGTTTGGTTTTCAGTTTTAGCTATATGTAGTAATAATTTATTTTGCTTTACTCTATTCTCCTTGTTCTCGTTCTGTTGCTTATTTATTTCCTGCACATCAACTTTTTTTCAGTACCAGCCTCATAACAGCATCACACTATAACAATGCATACATTGAATAATTTGTTTTGCCATTAGATTTAATGGACATCAAAGTTGCCCGGGTGCATGCAGAGTCCATTTACATATTTAAGACTTATTAACTAAATAGTGAGTTGTGAAGAGTGTAAAATTGACTTTTATAATCCCACCAAAAATAATTGTTTTAGAAAATTACTTACCACAAGTTAATTTTATCCTAAAAAAAAAAAAAAAACACACACACAGACAATATTTAATATTTAATAAGTTATTAGTGTTTAGATTATGCATACCGGTTTTTCTAGGTTATAACATTTATGAATACATCAATGGAATTGCTGTCACTTCTAGTAATCTTTATTTACTAAAGTGAGAATTCAGTGTAGATTCAAAGTGAATTTCATATTTAAGGTCAAAATGAGTGAACCAGAAAAACATCTCTAAGTCAGCTATGCTTCCAATTAAGCTACATTCAATTTGTAATTAATTCTCTTTAAATAAACTTTGAATATTCACTTTAGAGAATAACTGTTATTCAAGTCACTATTACTATTCAAATATTACACTCTTACTTTACCAAAATATGTATTTTATTTAATATTTTCATTAAAATAAAATAGCTGGCTTTTTTTTTTTTTTATAAACTGAAAGTGTGAAAGCTTAAATTGTTATAAATATAATTATTATATTTTCTTAATTGTAACAACTATCCATTGTGGAGATGATACAAAGTGCTTCCCTTGATAACTTGCTTTGGGATTTTACAACAATTGTAAACACCTTGAACTGGATTTTCTAATCACAATTATGCACAGAGCAATTTAGTTGCATGTAAACATCAAGCCCTTGGGTTTGACCTTTGTGCAAACAGTGCGCTGTGTGTAGCAGCAAAGGCACAGTGGGACATCACAAATGTAATCACCCATGTATAATCAAAGCTGTTTACTTTTATTGAGTTTCTAAGATAATACCAAAAAATAATTGTCTCCACTTGGATTTATGTAAAGTATTCTGAAACACACATTTGTTTTTTTTAAATAACAATTATGTTAGGAAACAAAGTCACACTATTACATCATTCAGTAATGATTATTTGACTACAGTTGTGGAGCTATCTGATAATATAGATTTAATATTTTTGGATGAGTTTGCTAAATGATTTAATAGTTTTGGATACACTTTTAAAATGTTTTTTTTTTTTTCTTTTCAAAATATTAAATTTTCAAAAATATATTGTGTATAAAAATATATCAAAATTATTAGAATATTGGGAAAAAATAAAATAAATAATGTTTAAAGTTTATCCAAAACTCTTAAATAATTTGAAAAGCTTATCCAAAATTGTAAAATTGAGGCTATAATGCTATATCTAGTTATATGATCTAATCTGTTAAAAGTAAGTCAAGTATGCATTAAATGTTCCTTTTAATGTAAGAGCATTTTGTGAGTTTATTTAATAGCTTTATGCATATTGATATAATATAATATATATATTGTAAGTGGTATGCACAGTTTTAATTCGATTTTTATTAGTTATGTTGTTTGTTTATTTAATAAATGCATGTAACTGGGCCAATTGGGCATCTCCACAGCAAATTTTAAAGCTGCAGTTGTCAATTCATAAATAAATTAGGTACATCTAGCAAGTCACCTATTGCAACTGACTCACTACTTGGCATAAGTCAGCTTGCACCTTCAAAAGGCATGTTATGTAATTGTAGCAGTTACCCCATGTAGCACAGGGGTTTTAACTGTTGCAGGGTGTCCTTTTCCCGATCAGTGAGGAGGATTCTCAGCATCCAGTCATGATCCAAGTGAAGAAGCTCTTACAAGAGCTAGTGTGAATAGCTGTATAGCGATTACCCCCAATAAGAGACAGGACTCTAGATTGAGGGTAAAGTAGACCTGAGGTTTAATAGCAGGTACTCTACTTTTATGTGGTGCTCCCATGCAAGGGAGACACCCACAGACAATTAGACATTAACCAATCAGACAATGGTTACAACCCACAGATTCCCTCCCCTCTGCTTGGGAGATAATTTAGTTTCTTATGGTATCTACTCAATTATCTCCAAGCTAAAACATACTTTTTTATGCATTTTTATAACTTTATGGTTTTTCATCATACAGGAATAAAACTTTTTATGAACAACACAACTTGGGGACAAACATATTTAAAATTCATACAAATCCGTTCAGTGGTTCCAGAAATATTGAAAAGTTTCTTTGGACCAACCGAACGCCTGTTTGCATGCCCCAAACAGTTCCACAGATTCAGGCTGTGCAGTCGGTCTATTTCTGCCTTGAAAAATAACAAAGTCCCATCTGAAAGCAGCGTTCTTATAGTCGAACGCACTTTGACTTCTGTCGAAGTGTTGAAGTAAAAATGGGGTTAAGTTTCAGCAGTGGTCGTTAGTTAAGTGGCAGTCTATTTTTCACAAAAAAGATGAAAAAGTCCCATTCGAACGTGCTTCGAAGACTTAGTCTCCAGCCACAGTGTCGAAGGCTAGGGGAAGGTACAGGTCAGCGGTGTTCGTTCAAATGTGTGGCCGATTTCCGTTCCAGGGATTTGACGGCACACACCGCTTTGACTGCATTAAAATGGCTGCCGCCACGTGTTCGATTGTCTAATGGCAGCCACTTCGACTACTTCGGCACTTCGGTTGTATCCGAAGTGCCATATCAAATGTACCAATCCTTTGCACAGCACAGTTAAAGGGCCATAAACAGTCTTTGTTATTAGGTGCAGGGCAATGTGGATGATGGCGGGAAAACAAAAGGTAGAGGTTCCCAGGCAACATGGTAAGAGGTTGTTACAACATATATTACAGATCCAACGAAAAACAGGGGGATCTGTTACAGTCATGCCACCTACTCTTGAAATTGAGCTGGAAGTTTGGAATTTCTGGATGAAATTTTGTAATGTTTTGACCTGAAAACCATACATACTCAAAGTCCAAAGGCATCTAAATGCTACTTGTTGAAGCATGACAGGAGAAAATATAGGAGAGGATCTAAAATAAGTAATAGAAAATAAAAAAATTATAAACAAGAGTGAAGCAGTATAGTGAAACCAAAGTTTAGGTGATACACCCAAAACAGATATAAATAGATTGTGAGAAATTCAAAAGGTGTAATGGTACTTAATGGTCAGTAGATGACAATTAAGTATCATTAATGGTATCATTACAACATTTTGAATTTTTTACAACGGCCGCATTACACCGCCCCATAGGAAAGCATTATTCAATGCTTTTCTATGGGGATTCCGGCAACGCTGGAGGTCCTCATGCATTGCGTGAGGATGTCCTGCATCTCTTAAAACACTAAAAGTGTTTTAAGAACCCGGAAGCATAGACAGCCACTAGAGGAGGACTTAACCCTGTTAGGCAATTAGTGCAGTTTATGAAAAACTGCACTAATTACACTTGCAGGGTTAAGGGTAGTGGAAGTTGGCACCCAGACCACTCCAATGGGTGCATGGAGTGTCCCTTTAAGGTTTGTTTTTTTCCAATCACTTTTTGTTGAAGTAGTTGTACACAATAAGAAGAATAGTCCATGAGTGATCAACAGGTGCAATAGGTGGTACAATATGATGAGAAATAGCTCAGTTTTATGAATATAATTACAGTAGTAACTTGATCAAGCTTGCTAAAGAAGGAGATTCAAATTACAAGATCTAAAACAATAATGAGATTGACAATTCTTCTGAAAAGGTTGTGGTGGATCAGAGACATATTGGAAATTGCAGAGCAGAGGACCTAAATGCTAGCATACCCCATAACCCTGGAGTATTGAGGGGGGAGGAATATTAACAAAGCTTGTTGAACCCATTAAAATAAACATTGAAGTAGTGTTATGCATATTAGCAGTTCAAAATCAGGCAAGGGTAGAAAATGGAGGACCCTATATCTCTAGTGAGTGACTATAAAATTAAAAGTAACATACAAGAAAGCATACTAATTCATAAATATAACAAGCTATGAGAGCATTTGTGACCACAATAATATTTTTTCTGTCTTAATCCTGGTCAGTCATTTCCTGTTGCTTGCCTCGGAGTAAATGACACAACGCTATCAATGTGACATTGAATAGCAGAGGTTGAGGCCAGTAGGTGGGGCCATTGGTCACTTCAGCCTTGGCTGCGGGATTATCATTCTCCTTCTCGGATAGAGTAATCCCACCCGCCTCAATAGCGTAAAAAGGGTCAGGAGTGTCCAAGTGTAGATCTTCTGATGTAGTAGAAGATCTGTGGTGGGGAGTCACCATGTTTGGCCTTTTCTTGGAGCAGAGTAAGTTTCTGATATTGTGGGATCTCTATACTTTTAAAAAGTTGAGGCTTCTTGGATCTTTTCCTTTTATTGCTGGCAGTCAGCTATGTCAAAAGAG